TAAAAACGAAGAACCTATTACAATCCAAATGTTCTAAGAGATATCATTTTAATAACTTTATTTATAATTTTGTACAAAGCGTTTTTGGACACAAAACTTTTAAATAACCACAATACTTGTAAAAGCCACGAACACGGTTAAAAACTTGATACGCAACGAAGAGCCTTTTCAGAACAAAACAAAACCTTTTGAATGCAACCAACGCAGTCGAGGTGTGGAATAATAAGACTACGCATTGTCCCTTTTTTAACCAAAACATTTCAAACGCACTGAAACGCGTTAACGTAAACATTGTACGAAGCACTACGTGCTACCGGCACCCCGCAGAGCTTGTTTACGTAACGCGCCGCGTAACGTCACGTTCAACTTAAAATTATTTACGTACAGATTGTATTACCTGCGACTGTGCACAGTCCAGTGAGATTGAATATGAAAATTAACAATAAAACTATTTTTCACCCATTCCCGCACCTATCTAGTGGAAGATTAAACGCTCTAACCGAGCCAAAAATCGCAACATGTAACCTTTTAAACAATTTCGGCGACATCTAGAATGCACTATACAAATAAATTTTTACAATGAATATTTGAACAAGTCTTCTGTATTGCATTCACTGTTTGATTCCTGAGTTGAATGCTTCGAAGAGCTAACTTTCGTATATTTCCTAAATTGCTGATTAGATTTTGATCCTACGAATGTCATAATCGAATCATTTAAGCACATGTAATAAAGCTTTTGCTGCTTGATTGATCTTATATCCGTAACGCGATAGAGTGATTTTTGAGAAACGCTTATTTTACTCACAAACGAGGCAGCCTGAGGTGTGCAGCGTATTTCTGTTGCTATTCAAAAATTGATTTTATACGTAATACGGAAATTTATATATAAAATATTAACAAAAGAAATATCACCTGCAAAAGGCAGTATGATGTCGACGTACGGTTTATATTTATTAAGAATGTGGTAGACTATGTCGCACCATATTCGTCTACGTGTAATTAGGAAATCGACGTAGTACACGGCTCGTAAAAGGCAAACCAGCATTTTTGCGTTAGAATAAATGACACCTATTCATTGGTTCACAATGAACGGGGCACCGTTGCAAGCTTAATGAGGGATTGAAAAGTACTCGTTCCTTTTAAATAAGCAATAAAATATCATTACCGTATAGTATTTTACTTTTTTAATATAATTTCGTATTCAATTAATTGGCATTTTTAAGCGATTTATTCAAAAAGGACGCTCAACAATTTAGACCATCAAGATCTAAATTGTTGGGCGTCCTTCTTGGAATACTCGAGACAACAAGATGTACATTTTATACATTCTTTCATCTTTTAATGATAACCACAATAAACGGTCGTATTTTTCTTTAAAATGTTTTAAATTTACCTCGCTATTAAATTCTTTCTCTTTTTCCTTGCGTAAGATAAAAATCATTACACGGTCGTATTCCTTCTGCAAAAAGGTTTTAATCAATCCATCTATACTTAGTCATTCACATAACAAGTTATCTTAACGATTAGTTCGCAGCCATTTCAATTAACAATAATAATATTCAGCACATAGATAGGTCAGCGTCCACTTCTGATATTATAATATGATTCGATAATGAATGCTCTTGGATCATTAAAGAAGTAAATAAACTCATTAATTATTTATTTTTCCAGTAACTCACTATTTTATTAAACGAATGTTAGATGTATAGTCTGTGTTCCAAAGTATATACAGTTATGTATTCATTTCAATTTAACATCACTTAATAAGGAGTCCATTAGTATACCCACGTACATAATTAAATTAAAAGAAAGACATACCGATTTTTGGACACAAAAAGTGGTTATTTTGTCCCCTTTTTGAATTGTGTAATAATGATTTAAATCTATTAATGGCCATCTGAAAAAGATGTTCCCATTATCTCAACTTTACTTTGTCAAAAATTTACCTACATATTTTTGACACTGAGGGGTGATAATTCGATGATTATTTTTTGACGGTTGGCAGGGAAGTCGTATTGTTATATTTGTTTTAGCAGTTAATAACATTAAAAGACTAAATGTGATTTACAAACGGGTTTTCTACCCTTTTTTAATCTGAAACTGATAAAAAGTAAAAATCGTATCGGTCGCCGTAAAACAAAATCAGAATCAATCTTCGTTTCCGAGTAGATTCGCATATTGCATATTCGCGTATTGTCTTGTAAAAGATGTTGTTCTCATTCTATAAATAGCAAATGCAACGACGAATGCAATTAATAAAGCTGTATGCAAATTGTAGATTGATCAGAGCAATTTTCACGATTATCAACATTAACTACTTTCCTTTCGCCACGGTTAATGGACGCGCTGAACATAATGAATGGTGTTTTAAAAACGTACTTAGTGTTTCACATTTCCATAGCTGAATACTTCCGCGTTTTAAGTCCGATTTTTATTCCTCACTGAGAAATTGACCGGTTTTTGAGTATCATACCACCTGACGGTAAGAAGTTGTTTAATAGTTGTTAGTACATGTTTGCTACTGGTAAACTTCTGATGATTTATAATTTAATATGATTTTATAGAGCAAGCAGGCCAGTAAGTGATCACTAACATTTGAAACCGCAGAGGAATCCCTTCTCAAAGGTCCCCAAGTCGAATTTTTCCGGGCATACCTCTGACGATTGATTTAAATAACCGTCAGTGGCAGAACGTTTTTTAGGGTTCCGTAATCAAAGGGTAAAGCGGGACCCTAATACTAAGACTCCGTTGTCTGTCTCTCTTTCGCCAGGCTGTATCTCATGAACCGTGTTACTTACAGTTTGGTGACTCCGTGGCGCAGTTGCCAAGGTATTGGCTTCGGCGTCGGGGGTCGTGGGTTCGATTCCCACACGGGACAACTATTTGTGTGACCCACAGATAATTGTTTCGCATCTGGGTGTTTGTCCGCGTGAAATTTATGTTTGTAAAACGTCCGATACAACACAGGATAATATTATCCTAAAGTAAGGGCAGTGTTTTTAAAAAAAATAAAAAACAGTTTAAATTTTCACAAATGTTGCTGTTATAAAAAATTTAATTAAAAAATATTTAAGTGCCCCACTTAAATATTTCTTTCCCATACAACAGTCATCAGTCTTTTGACGTTTTTATAGATAATGTTACGGAACCCTACGTGCGCGAGTCCGACTCGCACTTGTCCGGTTTTTTTGAAAGCGCACGATGTTTGGCCGAAACTCAACTATACTTGCGAGGAACTGTCTTTTGCTAAACGTCCTAAGTTCTTCACCGATGCTATCAGAATAATGCTAAGCACATAAGACGTGCAAGTTGAAGAAAACAAACAAAGCATTTCGTAACACCTAAAGCGTGTTTTATTCGCAACGAATAACGCAAAGCTCGCAAATGGCACGCACGCCGCGTTAGATATCGGGCCGCGTACATTTTACTTACAATACATGTCAAGGCTTATGTTGTCGAGTTTTGAATACTTAAACATGTGGCGTGAAACGATATTACCTCTTGGGTAATGTTAAATGACGCACTACAGGAATATTTGTGACCATTTAGTTTCCAATGACTATGTGCTTCTCGTTACTAAGATTTCTGTTTCCTGGTGTTTGTTCAAACATGGAGAAGGCAATGTCATTATTCTCCTAAACTATTCTTTTAAACTTGTTTTTAATACTTAGTAAATTATGTTAAGGGTCCATATGTATAATTTTATTAAAATAAACAGTTTCTGTAGCTTGATATTGTCTGGTACAAACTTAACATACAAAAGCTATAAGATATATGTATGAAGTCCGAAAAATCGGTCAATGGAAAACCAGCCCGTTGTTGAGATATGCTGGTTATATTATGAGATAGCACTTATTTACATATGAGAATAATTATTCAGTATAAAGAAAGAAGGGTTCAGAAAACCCTGTAATCTTCTGTGCTCTTTCTTGCAACAAAAGCATATCAACGCATAAGACATGTTGACAATAAATAGAAGTAATGCAATGAATTTCTGACAAAAAATCATAAAACAAACCATCACATTTATTATTGAGAACATTATTTATAATTTATATTATATCTCATAATAAAAAAAAGAATAACAATGGTATTAAATAAAATATGAAAACTTAAACGATTACTGGTAGTTTTCACCTTCAGACTAATTACTATTAATAAAATCTCTAATATAATCATGAAAGATAGAAAAAAAACATGTTAAGTCCAATTTAATAAATATGTTATGTTGAATTGCAAAGAAGAGTTTTGTGATTTCATTATAAATTTAAATAAACTTTTACACTTATGTATGGCAAATTCCACAAAAAGCTATTAAATTATGTTTATAATTTAAACAGTTTTTTTGTGAATTTTGAAACTATAAATCTTTAGGAAAATCAATGATGGTTATTTAAAAAAACCCAATTGTTTGAGTCGATTCTGTCAATGATTTCTTTTTACCCAGTCAAATTTAGAAAAAAGGAAAAGTTTAGTAACAAATATTGATATTGATGGTTATAAAAATTTATTGTTAAAACAAAATATATATATTGGAAGTACTGTTGGGTAATTAGGACATTAGGACACCCAAGTTAATAAATTTTCAAAAAATATATTTTTTATTTTAATTGTAAAATTACTTGGCTCCTAGAATCAAGTCAACACACATTACAGATTAAACCAATTTTTTCAATGGTTAACCACAGTTATTGTATTTGTAATATGATTTTTTGCAGATGATTTGTAAATCAGCGTTCGAAGGCGAAATAAGAAAATGTTCGCGATTAAAATGTTTTACGCTTTGCTTTGCTCTGCGTAGGACCACACGCGGCCTCATGGTATAAGGATCGTAGTCAATGTAATGTCAAAACCACTTAAAGTAAGGTGCTTCAATTGATTTATTCGGCATGAGACAGTTGCTCTGCGCTCAACGAAATCAAAATAGTTGTATATCTTCTGGCCGGTGCTTTTTGTGCTGTTAAACTGTAAGATGATAATCTTAAGTAGCATTAAATTACCTGGGCAAATTGTTCCCTGATTTCAGCTCGCTCCTCATCAGTCAATTTAGAATTATCTGCCATCGTCACTTATTGTTTTATCACAATAACAAAATTCACATCCACAAGCGTTGGAACAGTTAAAACTTTAAAGCTTTTAATGCACTTTATACTTAGAATATAATATGTACAATGGTACTGAAAAAAAATTATAAATTAAATCACAATCGACTTTTTAATGCAATGACGTGCATTCAGGAATTACCACAATTCACTTATGCAAAGATCTGATAACGCAACAAACGAAAGTCTTAATGCGAGTCCCACCAATGACCAATGAAATAAAACGTCTTCCAGTTTTGCAAATTTTGTGTAATGGCAATGTTGCCGTAGTATAAATGTATTACGAAAGTTGCCATACAAAACTATATAAATAATGTGATTTTCCCATTCAATTTATGTGAATCCTAAATATCAAATAAGAATCAATTATAATTTATAATCATTATTAAACACAATTTTTGTACGCCATTATTATTAACTGTGAAGTAAATCCAACAGATGGCACTATAACCAATTACATAATTATAATGACATCTAGTGAAAGAGTATTGAACTACAGATTATGACGAATATAGTTTTTAGCAAGTATACGCTACTCGTCAGTAGATGGGTTAAGCCATCTATCGACGAGTAGCGTTTACTAGCTTAATGTTCTCGAAAAATCTAGAAATTATTAAAGCTAATTCAGAGGTTTTGAAATTGAGGGCTGCATAACAACAGTTCATCATACTTATTTGAACTTACAAAGATGCTAATTAAAAATTTAGCAAAGAATTATTTCTTGACAAATTAATGTGCTTTAATCGTAACATATTTATTTTATTTAATTTTAATTATTCATAGCCAAACATTTTTTGCTTCGTTTTAATTATCTATTATTAAAAAATTTTGTTCATCTTACTCAAATGACATACATATTTACATTCATAAATAGTTTTTCTAATACTAGTCTTCATAGTAATAAAAATATAATTTCGCAAAAGATTTTTAAAAACATGGGTGACAATATCTCTTTGACTAATGAATTTTTATTTGTGATATTGAACCATAAAACGATAAAAATACACATCTTTAAATTAATGAGACAAAGCTAATATCTAAACGCCATTTATGTATTTAAAAAATAAGGAATGATACAGCAAATAAGAAATTCCATTTTATATAAGCCAAATTGTTAATTGTAACCTACCACGCTTGTACAAAAATAAAGCGGCCCTCGGCTTAACCGTCTATGGCGTCTAGAAATTTCTCCAAGCGTCGAGAACTCGCAGATCGAATAAATACGTGAAGCGCCTGCTGTCCGCCATCAGTTTGAAGCGGATTTTCACGAGCGATACAACGTTTGCGAAGCGTTTCCTAAAGAATTTTCCAATCGACCTTTGATAATACTGCAAAGAAACATGTCTTTGATACCGTTTCTGCTTGATTGCGACTTGGACCGGCTGGGGCCCCGTCGATTGATCGACCAGCATTTCGGCTTGGCCCTGACTCCTGAAGATATTTTAACCGTACGCACCGGTCCTTTGTTAAACCAGGACTACTATCGTCCATGGAGGCACGTGGCTGCGGCCGCCCGCGATTTCGGCTCCAGCATCAAATCGGACAAGGACAAGTTTCAAGTCAACCTGGATGTTCAACATTTCGCCCCCGAAGAGATCTCCGTGAAGACTGCTGATGGTTACATCGTCGTAGAGGGGAAGCACGAGGAGAAGAAGGATTCGCACGGATACATTTCGCGTCAGTTCACGCGGCGGTACGCCATTCCAGAGGGCTGTTGTCCCGAAACCGTGGAGTCTAAGCTTTCCTCCGATGGAGTGCTCACTATCACCGCTCCGAGAAAAGTACCACCAGCAGTTCAGGGTGAGCGCAAGATCCCTATCACTCAAACTGGCCCGGTGCGGAAGGAAGTGAAGGATCAAGCCAACGGCGACCAGCCCGAAAAGTAAACGTTTTTCTACTCACCGTACGCTTCTAATAATTATTAGCCATTCCTTTATTTTGTGTAAGACTGATATTTTAAGTTTCTATTAAATTAATGTGAATTAATAAGTTGTTTCATTATTTGACCCCAAGAATCATTAAAGAAATGAACCCATTGTTTTCGTAAAAAATCTACAAAATGTGCCGTAAAAAACTGTACCCAAATATTGTAATTAATGATACGCTATGGAAAACATTCAATACATTCCGCCTTGATGGAAAAACTACCCATCCTGCAATTTAACATCAAGAGAATGGGATTCAGTTATTTCTAGTCTACTTCATACAAATACATTTTTATTAAATAAAACCCAAGTAGATACCAATTCTTCTGGAGTTATTAAAGCCTAGAAGGCTATAAGTACAAGCAGGGTCTTTAGGAACAAAGACAGCAAGAATAGTCTAGAACTTAGTCTGACGAATGGTGACCGATTTGGACTGTGTATGAATGACTTAGTTTTGAATATATAATATATATATGTAAACATTTGCACAAACCATAAATGGAAATGTTAGTAAAAAAAACCTTGACAATAGAATACAACTAATGCACATCATACGTAAATTATTTTGTATTCAGGGATTTAACCCTTTGTCTGACCCTTTTCAGCGTTCATGGTTACGGGACAATGGACATGCTTATTTTTTTATTTTGTAAGAAAGATCGAGAAACTAGAAAAATGGATACTATATCACAATTCTTCTGGTGAATGGTAATTAGGGCCTGTGTAGTTACTGCGTCACTTCGCATTTTTATTATTAAAATAAAATAAATAAGAATATTTTGAAAAGGAAAGGGCCTATTATAATGTCGAATAAGTGTCGTTCCAAGGATATGTGGAAATGACTCTTGCTCTGCACTTACAAGTACCCTGGCTGCTGCCGATTTTATACTTAACAAATTTTGTATATCATTACGTATGCCCCGATACCCTGCGGGACTAAACTAACGAAAAAATAAACAAAAGAAAATGCCCGATTAGTCCTAAAACCATTAAAAAAATCCTTTTAACGACATATTATGAGGATATCTCCTTGAAATTTGTAAGTAACCCAAACGTTTTAATAGTTATACAGTTACAAAGGTATTTGAAATGTTTACGTTAACCCCAGAATGATGTCGTTGTATCCATTGTGAGGCCTATTCATCATATATATACCCATACATCTTTAAAATTTTTCATGGCTCGGAGCATGCGATACTTTTAAACAGATTGCGACACTTTTTAAATCAAATCATGAAACTAGTCTATATTTTTATTAACGAAAGACAAAAGCGACTTCAAATAAATCTCGCTCTGTATTCATTTTATAATTTGATGTCTTTATTGAAAAGCACTTAACCGAGCTCTTCAGGACTAAGGGGTACCAGAAAGATTTTGGGATGAGTTTTAGTGGCTGTTACCTTCCAACAAACTGTATTGGTGTATCATAGAGACCAAACCACACCACAAACGACATTTTTGACGAGACTTTCTGAAATACAATTGAACAAACATTATTGAAGACACTATCATTATTTATAGGAGTATTAGTGAATGCTTAATTACTAAATTTCTCAATGAACTCCCTTTCTATAATCAATACAAAGGATTTTCCATGGAAAGTTAATGTTTTGAATACAATTAATAACAAGTCATGAAGAATTTCACCTTTCCATTCGAGAGCTAATATGCAGCTAACGGCTAGACTTACAATGTGCAAGGCATACAAAATTATCTTATTATAATGCTGAGTAATGTACTTTTTTATTTAATAACGTTAGTTAGTTTTTTGTTGTTAAAATATAAGTATACAGTTTATCCTACTTTTAACTGCGAGATCGAAGGTTATTGAAAACTTTCCCCTTTAACTATGTTCCCATACGTATATAACATAAAAATATACAAGTCCTAACTCCTGAAATGTGTCTGACATCTTATCTAATAAAGCTTTACAGCATCCTAATATCCTTTTTGGCAGTATAGCATCAAGTGATACTAAAAACCCACTAAAGATTGGTCCTCTATAAACATTACATATTTGGTTAGAAACACTAGGGCGAAGCCGCGGGTAAAACCTGTTAACCTAATAACTTGCATAAAAATCTGAGCCCTTAGTATGCTTTCAATAGTAACATATTTATTTTCATAATTTTTATTGGATTTATATTGCATCTTTTTTTTTTGCTTTAGAAATGGTGATGCAGCTTTTATTTTTCATATCCCGGACGAAGTAGTGAAGTAACCGGATAGCTACCGACTCTTGATCTTATTGAAGCACTTTCTTAAATAGCAACGAAGAAGCTCGGGTACTGAAAACGCAATCTTGAGACTCGACATTTTATAAAAGTAAAGTAAAGTACATGTCCCACTGCTGGGCAAAGGCCTCCTCTTTACAGAGGGTATCAGGGCATAGTCCACCACGCTGCCCCACTGCGGATTGGCGGACTTCACATATCTTCGAAATATATATTTTTTGTTATTATTTCTATGCAGGTTTCCTCACGATGTTTTCAGCACGTGATAAGTCAGCACTTAAAGTTAAAAACTTCATTGGTGCCGGCACCGGGGATCGAACTCGGGTTGCTCGAGTATATTGAATTAAAGGCGAGCGCCCGGACACTGAGCTATCACGGCTCTTTGACATTATAACCGGTTGAAAACTTGTCAGCATCCAAAATCCTATGTGCGAGTGTACTGTGCAGTATGTCCCAGAAATATGTGAAATATGTGAAATTATTTTATGTCTGTTTCCTTGTAAATTATTAAAATAGGTACAACATGTAGGAGGTGGACAAAACATAAGATGGTTCATTTTTTGTTAAGACCTAGCACCCGCGGTGTGCAGATTGCATTGACATTCTTGGAAAGGGCTCACCACACCTCACTCACCAGTTGTAGTGGAAAATATAAATACTCCTTTTCTAGAGATTCAGTGCAAAAGGTATATAAATGTATAATTTACTTTTGTATACAATTATTATACCTACATCTTCATATATTTCTTTCGCATGTAAAAAAAGTAACAGCCTGTACCTGTCCCACTGCTGGGTAAAGGCCTCCTCTGTACAAAGGGTATCAGGGCATAGTCCACCACGCGGCCCCACTGCGGATTGTCGGACTTCACATATCTTCGAAATATTTTTTTTGTTATAATTTCGAAAATATGCAGGTTTCCTCACGCTGAGCACGTGATAAGTCTGCACTTGAAATTAGCTATTTCATTGGTGCCGGCACCGGGGATCGAACTCATGTTGCTCATCATCATCATCATTTCAGCCTGTTCGAGTCCACTGCTGAACATAGGCCTCCCCCACAGACTGCCATGAAGTACGATCCTGAGCCACCTGCATCCATCGACTTCTCGCACATTTGCACAGGTCGTCACTCCATCTAGTGGGGGGTCTACACTGCGATGGCCAGTACGAGGCTGCCACTCGAGAACCTTTCTTCCCCAACGGTTATCGGTTCTACGAGATATATGGCCGGCCCATCGCCACTTCAGCTTGCTAATCCTCTGAGCTATGTCGGTTACCTTGGTTCTACTGCGGATGTCTTCGTTACGAACTCTATCACGCAGAGAAATACCGAGCATAGCCCGCTCCATAGCTCGCTGAGCGACTTTGAGCTTCCTCATACGGCCAGCAGTGAAGGACCACGTCTCGGTTCCGTAGGTCATCACTGGCAACACACATTGATTGAAGACTTTAGTCTTCAAACATTGAGGTATATTCGACGAGAAGATTTGCCGAAGTTTCCCGAACGCTGCCCATCCGAGTTGGATTCGCCGATTGACCTCTGCGTCGAAGTTGGACTTACCTAGCCTTGTTGCTCGAGTATATTGAATTAAAGGCGAGCGCCCGGACGCTGAGCTATCACGGCTTTCGTCGCGTGTAGGCAATTTTAATACGCCGAATACGTAGGCGTGGTTTTTGGACGCAGTTGGGTTCGATTCCTACACGGTACAACCCTTGTAATACTGGATTATGTTATCCTACAGTCACGGCAATATTAAAAAAAAAAAAAAAAAATGTCACTCACAGTTGTATAATTCCTACCTTTATTAAATTTCCCGGAATCGCTACAGCATACGTGTAGCCAGCAAACAGGATACTTTAACTCTTTAAACTTTGCATTTGAATTTCGGTTCTGCAACCACGTTGTTGCGTCAATAAATAATTATTAAAAAAAATTGTTAGAGACTCATTAGAAGTTCGCTTCAATAATAAATTTTAATGTTCCTTGACAAATAAAATCAAAAGTGGTGAATTTATTTATTCACGTGGTTGCGAGTTGGGATATACAAATGTGGTGGTGTTTAAAATATGATATACAACCCGTAACCCGCATTAAAAAAAAATAATGTGACTCAAATATATTTGTTTTGTAGTAATGGCATTTTAAACCCAACGAATTTAAAGTTCATGGTGACGTGACGTTACTTTTTTTTTTATAACGGAGCTTAGCAAATGTAGCAAAATGATGTTACCGAATGGGTTGAGTATAATGAAACAGATAATGTTATCTCGTGTAGAATTGATTTATATTTGACACATAATAGTTTTAAATTCCTCTTAAAACAGAAATTAATCTCAAAATATTCTTGGAACATTTATTTTCTATACAAAATAATAAGATTACCAGATTAAATAACAGCACTTTAGACATGTTTTATATGCTTAAATTATTTCAACTTATAATAAATGCATTCTACAATATAATAAGTTAAGCTATAAATAATGAAAGTTTATCTTTAAGCGATCTATCATCTTAAAGTATTCACAATTTTTTTTTCAATTAATACTTACCTTTATCAAGCATTTAGTATGGACAACTTCACCAATGTAGGAAAATGAGCACATTAAAAAAGCGTATGGACTAAGATCCGAATCTAAGTCGACCTTCACCGAGCTGATAATAGAATAGAATTTATTTTATAATAAATTTAGTATATTAGAAAATATATTAAAACTGGCTTGCCTAAAAAAGTCCCGGACAGAATATTTAATTTATTGCAAGTCCGGATAATATTTTCTTATTATCTTTTAATAACAGTCCGGATAATATTATGTTGCAACATTTCACGAAAAATATATTTTTTTTAAATTATTAAATTAAATAATATTCTATTATCAGCTCGGTGAAGGTCGATTTAGATTCGGATCTTCTACTAGTAGCGTGAATTTCACCAAAGCACCATAAGGCCGTTGAGCCGTCATATTTTGACACTAATAAAGAGTGATATTGTATAAATAACCCTATTGCAGGGGTACAAGGTTGTTTTCTCTGTGACATGGATTATGAGCATCCCGTCCATGAAAGGAAAAGCGTATACCGCACTCGCGTGGACGTTGCAAGTGTTGTCTTGATTGCAGACGCGTTTTCTAACAGGGTGGGCCCGGTACAACACACACTAGAAGAAACGGGAAGGTAATACTCTTGTCTACGGTCTATAAGTCGTAACAACCAATATACCACCAGTATAGAGAAGGACTTTGCCCAACAGTGTCCCATATCATTTTACTTTCATCAACGTCAAACTCTCGCTCTTATCCCGCCTAAATAGGATTGATTCAACAAGCGAATTATGTTTAGTATTGCTAAGTTTTTAAGTCAGGCCGTCATGCCTGACGTCAACGCTCCTTAGAAAAAATTGTGTGGAATCGAAGCCCCGACGCCCAAGCTCATAGCTCAGCAACTGCACCATCGGGTCATCACCTATAAAGTATATTTACTTTCTTTATTCTTATTATGTTTATTTATTTATTCTTTATTGCAATTACCTTGAGCAAGGATTACAATTTTCTACCAGTCAACCCGGGGCGTGGTGAGAAATTGTGGTAGGTGCAATGAATATATGAATATATTCGTATGCATTACATATAATCGCGACCGCGGTGTCTGGGTTTCTATCACTTTGCACCGGAATAGCTTTTGGCTTCAGCGCAGTCCTACTGCCACAGCTGAAGACTGACGAGGATTATCCATACGACGAGCGCTACATGTCGTTGATCGGTAAGCTTTGGAATTGCTAATAATGTTTTTACCAGTTTGTTGGTTACGTAGTGCCAGTTTTTTTTTCGGAGGGATCAACCACTGTTGGTCTTAGGGGCCTTTATAGATCCATCGGGATTGCACCTCGATTTATGGGTGGCTTAGCTCGAGGGCTCCCCAGCTTAGAGTCAAGGACGACACCTAAGTATTTGACTTTATTTACCCATGTAACTGGACTATCCATGAGTTATATATATATATATATATATATAGTGTCAGTGCTTGATTACCTCATCAAATAATATAATTTGATCGTAATGAGAGCTTCCGTCTATTGGCAAACTTTTTAACCAAATTAGATGTTACTTATATGTCGAAATTCGACTAATGAGACTTATGAATATTATTCATTAAATTTAATGTATTATTTTCTCAGACTCATTAACTGGAAATAACATTTGTAACACGTATTGTAATTTAGCTTACTGCACTTAATTACTATAAATAATAACTCCGCCAAATCTCACACCCCTTCCAACACCAAGTAACAAAATGCTTGCGAACGCAATCGCTGACATAGATTATATTGTAAAATGTCTTTTCAGCTGCCATGACACCGCTGTCGATGGTCTTCGGAAGTATGTTCGCCGGCCATCATCGACGCGCTGGGACGAAAGACTGATCACGTGGTTTTGGCGATTTCGTTCATTGCCAGTTGGATTGTGCTCGCTGTCGCCAACAACAACCCAATAATGTTGATGGGAAGGTCCTTAACTGGCCTGTGTTGGGGCGCAATAAGGCCAATAGCCCTAGTTTATTTGGGTGAAATCGCAGACCCTAAATATAGAGGCCTGATGTTGTTCACACCATCACTGACCTTAACGACTGGTATTATCCTAAACCACGCTTTGGGTGGCTACGTCCATTGGAAAACTAACTCATTAATTTGCAGCGCTCCAAGCATTGTTGCCTTAGTCCTTTCTCTGGCTTTAAGAGAGAGTCCTCTGTGGTTGATATCAAAGGGCAGAATTGAGGATGGAGTGGTGAACTTCAAATGGTTTCGAGGCGAATCTGAGGTTGCGGACAAAGAGCTGAAGTCGATTCTAGAAAGGCAGAATCAGAAGCGAACTGTTTTGTCGGTGAAAGATTATTTCGGAAAAGAATTCCTAAAACCTCTATTGATATCAATATTTCTATCAGTAGGGACGCATTTTAACGGAGCGAATATCTTGACGTTCTATGCACAGGATATTTTACGTCTATTAATTCCAAACTTTACTCCATACACGCTTATGGTCATAACGGATTGCGTTAGACTAATATCAGCAATCATTATTATATTCTTCATCGACAACCGTTTTCCGAGAAAAAATTCGTTAATGTTCTCCTCTTTTGGCGATAGTCTTTCGCTCTATTTTTTAGTGGGTCTTTTATATTTCAATCCAGATGATGCGAAATGGCTTTCGATTGTTTTGTTGGTAGTATATGTGACATTGGGTAGTGCAGTTGTGATTTTCGCTTGGTCATTCGTCTCAGAGCTGTATCCTTCCCAGTTTAGAGGATTTGGTACTGGCGCGAGTTCGGGTGCCTCTTTCTTCATGTTGTTCATCATCGGAGTGGAAGCGTTGTTCGTCGGTTTCGCAACAATAACCGCCGTGAACGCGGCCATAGTGTGTTACTCACTACCAGAGACAGACGGAAGAAGTTTGCAAGATATAGAAGAAGGAAGAACAATGTCATCGTGTCTAAGTTATGATTTTGTCATGCGAAGCATTCGTTAGTGAAGTTGAATGAATACTTTGCTATTAAAACGACATAAGGAAAGATAAGTAAGAAGAAGCATACGATGGAATATAGAGCTACGAGATTTACTCTTTTTTAGAAAAAAATCTAAGTAACGCAAGGCCAATGACTTTATTTTTCTTGTTTTGTTTTAAATCAATCGTGGGTTATCGGGTAATGGTCTCGGCACATAAATCAATATAAATTTATAAACATTAATAAATTTGACAAACATAACTTATGAATTAATATATTGTATTATTAAATATACGGATTTGAATCTTAAAACTCCTTAGCCTTCTTATTCAGCTCTTTAGAGTGTATACGTGTTATGGATATTCATTTTATACTTTGACCGTGTTTTGTCCGAGACTTGGATTTCTGAAGGTATACTGAACCCATTGTTATGTGTGTAGCCCGGTGTTTAAGCCTGCACGATGATAGGTCAAATAGACAATTTTATTTGCTCGAATAAAAACCAACATATAAAAACGTCGCGTTATTTTAATAATATTTAAATACATACATTTATTTGGTGAGAAGTATACCTATAAACAATTAAACAATATGCAAAAATAATTAATGTTTTTCATTTCATTGTCTCTTATTACTAATTGCATGAGCAAGTCGGTTCGTACAGATTTGATAAATTATGAAAAATACACAATATTCATTCAATAATTCAGAATGCAGATAAAATTTTAAATACAATGGTGTTTATGTTATAATAACAATGCATGCGTTATTATTTTATACATTCGGACGGTAAATATGCAATAAAAAAGTTTACTTAATCAATCAAAATATATTTAAACAAACAAAACCAATAAATTATCACAAAAGATAATGGAGTTATTATTATGACTAAATAAAAAAATAAGTCTCATAAATATCAGTCGACATTAATTCCAACACCATACCCGAAATATCGCACAGTTTTCAATCCTTCTTCTCTTCATTTTCCGAATGGGCGACATCGTCCTGAACTTCCTTCCTAACGGGTCCCGTGTGGCAAATAGGCACGACTCGTTCCCCTTTCAACAAATTGACCTTGGCAGGTGCCACCACGGTCAGAACGCCGTCGGAGGAGAGCCTGGACTCGATCGCATCTGGATTAATATCGTCCGGAAGCTTGAAGCGGCGCGTGAACTGCCTGGAGACGAATCCATGCTCGTCTTTCTTTTCCTCGTGCTTTCCCTCAACGACGATGAATCCGTCCGCGGTCTTAACGGTTATCTCGTCAGGCGCGAAGTGTTGGACGTCGATGTTTATTTGCCACTTGTCCTTGTCGAATTTTATCGAGGACTCGTTCCCTTGCGGCCACCACCATCTGAAGCGCGGGACCATGGGGCTGGTGCTTACCGTCAGCAGGTCTTCGGGACTCAGAGCCAGCCCGAAGTTCTGGTCGAGCAGTCGCCTCGGCCAACGCGGCAGGTCGTAGTCGAAAAGGTATGGGATCATCGACATTTTTCTGTCTGGATACTGCGTTACTGTTAGTGTTAATATAATGTGAAACGCTACGCGATCCGCCTTTATATACCTCGTGTAGCGTGTGCGAACTGACGGGAATGTTCTGGACGTAGTCACGGTGGAGGGCGGGAACAGTGAGTTTGGTCGCTTGTTTATTTTGATTCTGCAAACCGCTATAAATACGCGAGGAGGGAGGCGGGAGATGGGGGAGTGCAATGTTGTTGCCATATATTCTGGATAAATCAAGACGTTACGAATGTAAATCTATTCTTATCTGATTCGCCATTAGAAACATTTCATACGGCTATAATTACAACAGATACATTTGTGGCTAGTTTTGAATAATTTTGAAAAATTTCTTGACTGAATTATGAACAATCATGATACAATTTTTGATTATTCATAAATCTGGTATAAACGTGAATTTATTTCTTTGGCTTATCATCGCAGACATTTGTCTTTTTTGAATCTTTAACCGGTACAACCAACGATTGATTTTCATCTTTATTCGGACCCGAATGTGTAATCGGGATTAAGGTTTCATACGGGTTGCTGACATCGTGAATCTTCCTTGTAGCTTTAATTGTTAATATGCCATCAGGAGAGAGCTCGGACTTCATGGTTGAAGGATTACACCCATCTGGTAATTTGAACTTCCTGACAAAACGCCTCACGATTTGGCCCTGTTTCGTTTTTCTTTCCAGTTTACCTTCTATTACAACGTATTCAGGTACGGCTTTGACGCGAAGTTCATCCTTTTTAAATGTACTCACGTCCAAGCTTATTTGAAATTGCTCTTTGCTGATATTGATCTGCGGTCTTAAACTTCTAGTCTGTCTAATAAAGGAATACACCTTCGGGCAAACTGCTATGTTCTTTAAAGGAGTCAGAAACATCGCTACAACAAATTTTGATATCTATTCATAAATTCTTTACTTTCTATAAAATTAAACTATTTTAGGAGAATATTTAGTAAGCAATAAAATTGTGGAATCTAGTCTGTCATGACTTTATATTGACAGATATTTTATTTGACTTTTTGATCATAAGTCCAGAAACTAGTGTGTACCTACAGAATTCGCTTAAGTAGTTATTGTATTTATAGTAAGTAAGTAGATGAACCCAAACACGCTTCGCTGCGACTTTTATTTTACGTTCGGTGGAGCTTCGGGATAAAATGTGTATAAAATATACGTTTAAATAGCTATTTTGTGGACATATGGAAGCTTAATTTTCACATACAAGATACATACCGGTAGGGCCACGCAACAGTATTCACTGTTGCACGAATGGGCAAGTCCGTCCGGGTAAGTACCAAGACCTCACAGAAGACCGGCGTAAAGTAGAAGTTTTTTTTTTTTTTTTTATGCGAAAAGTTGTCAAACGAGCAGACGGTTCACCTGATTTTAAGTGAATACCGCCGCCCATGGACATCTGCTACACTCGAGGGTTACAGATGCGTTGACAACCTTTTGAAATTTGGGCTCCGGCTACCTACATCAAAAAAGTGAAACTAAATGTGTTCTTTATAAATATATTTTTTTTACCTGTACTAGTGCACATAAAATATATTTTTACGCAAATTACACTGAAAAATTCCGATGATCTGGAATATTCAATAGTTGTAAAGTCAGTTATTTTCATTTCAATTTAATTCTCATTTCAACTCGCTGATCAATATTTCGGTGCCAAATGCCACCTTGTTAAAAACGTTTTTTTCTTTAATATAGGTAAAATATGAACCAACAACTGTAAAAATCTAATTACCATAATTTACAATGGTAAATTCTCACACATGCTCACCCAAATAATTCAACATCGTTATAAAACGTAATGATTAGGAAAACAAACATTCGTCCTCCTCTCATTGACTGTATCATTAAATTATCAGCCTAAGAATTTTACAAAGATCCTTTAACTGAAATTCGGAATCCATCTGAATTTTTGGCATTAGAATGGTGCGAAAATCAGTGTTAAATACGGTTGGTATGGCAGATATTAAGATACTATTGATCAACATAAGATTTCTGTGTAAATCTAATTGCCCTAAAATCTAAGTTGTCTGAAGCATTACCTCGGCTTTGTTAGACCAGCAATCGTCGACCATTTTTGCAGAACAGATTCCGAAAAGGTCGATTCGCGAGGGTACTCAAATAATTTTTAACAAAGATGACATTAGGGATTTGTTTCTATTATTTTTTAGATTAATACCAAATCTCAGTAGATGTCCGTGGCGCAATTACCAAGAAATTGGCTTCGGCGCCATGGGGTCATGGGTTCGATTCCCACGCGAAACAACTATTTATGTGACCCACAGACAATTGTTTCGGATTTGGGTTTGTCCACGTGAAATTTGTATGTAAAAAGTCCTTACAACACATTATGCTACAGTAAGGGGGCAATTTTTTTGAAGGGAAGACTACAATAGGTCTTCTAGGTCGTAGTGGTCGGTGGTATTTCGACCCTTCCCCTTCCACAATATACATCAATAATATCATTGCGTCAAAAATCTATTTTATATAAATTATTATTTTAGTTTTAATTTATAAATTAATTTATTTATTTATATAAATTAATAAATGTTAATACAATGTTATGTTTATTCTCGACTTATTTACTGGAGTCTAAAAATTGGAGATAAATAATACACATGTATAAAGACAAAAAAAAAAAAAAAGAGATTTATTAGTTCCTTATTTACATTTTTACGAAAAAGAATAACTATTTATCAGTCTTACTGCTTACATGAAAGTAACATTTCAGATGGCTGCAACTGGTGTAGTGGTAGTTAATACACAAACAAAAGTTTTACTTCTTTGCTTCCTCCTGGGTCGCGTTGCCATCCTTGATTTCCTTGCGCACAGGTCCTGTTTGTTGAATAGGAACAGCTCTTTCGTCCTTCAACGCTGCCTGCTGCTGTCTAGGAGCCACGACGGTCAGCACCCCGTCGGAGGAAAGTCTAGACTCGACGGTTTCTGGGCGACATCCTTCGGGCAAAGCATATCTGCGCACAAATTGGCGAGAGATGTATCCGTGCTCGTCCTTTTTCTCTTCGTGTTTGCCCTCCACGACGATGTAGCCGTTTGCGGTCTTAACCGTGATCTCCTCCGGCGAAAAATGCTGCACATCCAAATTTACTTGGAATTTATCTTTGTCTGCTTTGATGCTAGAACCGACATCCCGCGCCGCGGCTGCCAGCTGCCTCCAAGGTCTAAAATAATCCCGTGATAGAACGGGACTAACAGCAGCGGTAAGAAGGTCGTCAGGAGTTAACGCCAAACCGAAATCTTGATCCAATAGTCTGCTAGGTCGGTTCCACTCGTAACCCAACACGTACGGTAGCAGAGACATGTTTCCTTTTTATTCTCCCACTTGTAAAATCAGAAAATTCAAAATAGATCGCTTGGTAGCTCTCCGAACACTCGCGATTCACTTGCTTCGCTCGATTCAAAATCTATGCCGATGCGCGGGCTGCGGCAGTTTATATATCCGACGGCTCCGCCATCTAGTAACAAGTAGAAGCTTCGCGAACCGTACTACGTTTATGCCAGACGCTGCGTCGCAGATACGCACACATTGATAGTGTAAATGGGCCGTTGCTTAGCAACGATCGATCGAAATTTCACTAATGTGCCGGCCGGCGTTTTTAGAATGCTAACATTGCTAACAGTTAATGTATTATAGAATTTGATGTCGTTGTTTACTTATGGATATTTTATAAAAGGCTTTAAAATTACATAAATGCACTTGAAATGATGAAATTATTTAGACGATAAGGTATGAATCTTTAAAACTACTTTATTAAAAGGTAAAGGGCATTACATCTGAAACCTTACAAGTGGTGCAAATGTGCACGGGCGTCGGTTATCACCATTATTTATATTTCAGATATATAAAAGTACTCTTTGGTTATCACTTAACATCAAGTGAACCGACAACTCGTTTGCCATCTTAATTCTTACATGAAAAAAGTAGGTAGGTACACAATTATTACACTAAATGCAACTAAAATGCATCGTGATTCCAACGGATGAAAAATTAAAATCTACAATTACTTTACAAACCTACTCGATCAGTCTAGAACTTTCATTGCAACAAGGTGGAATTTCCCAAGTGTTCAAGTAAATATTATTTATCAGCTGTTCAGTGGATTATACCTTAAATAATTTCGCAATTCGATCGCATTCTAAAGCCGTATTTATTGTAATAATCTAAATTAATAATGTCATTTTATTAAATATATTTAAATGCTATATGAAATCATTGATTGTATTCGTATAGACACAAGTACATACAAAAGAAAGAAGTACTTTTAATTAAATTACTTGTTTCTAGATATGTACTTTTAGGAAAAGAATTGTTCGAGAATTTTAGTACAATAAAAAATAATGGTCAATTAAATAAGGGAGCGTGGACTTTAAAGACCAATTAACCTGTTTTCCAATATAATGTATAAAACGCATTGTAGTATTGTATGTATGGGACATATGGTACGTATAGGCCGTTCCTAATGGCCTAAATTTTATTTTCGAGTATCTACTGGACATCAAATGATGTGTCAATTTTATCAAAATAAATTCAAAAAAAGAAAGTTATTAGATACTATACATATACTACATAGGTTCATCTCTATTCGCTGTTATTGAATTACAAAAAAATCATTTTTGAAAGCCATTTTCTGAAATATATTGTTTATAATCGTAGAACCACTAACTATAGATATTTCGAGAGCGGGCGAAAGTACTTCCAAACAATTGATAAGTGATTCGTTGTTACTTATCTTTTCTTTTCAATGCTAAGTTTAAAAAAAACAATGACGATGTTTTTGTTTTTGTTTATACTTTATAAGTAAACTTATGATGTTTTTTTTGTGATTATTTTATTTTTCAAAATTAATCAATTGCTTTTAATGATAAAGATAAGTCGAGATTGTAAACAACTCACGATATTTATTTGGCTGTTGTTTTTATTGTTACTAAAGTTTATTAACCATTGACATTGGTATTGACCGACGAGAACGCAGTAATTTCATTACCCTATTTTTATACTTTTTCCTTGCCTCACCAGGATCATAGCTTCAAAAAAATAACAGTTCATTAATGAAATATTAGACAGTTATACAGATGTTGATGAATTAAAAGCCGGTTGAAGTAGTATTTTGATTTTGACTTCAATTTTTTGAGCTGGGCAAAGCATTTTAACGAATACCTGCTTGTCATGATTCAATATCTGGATCAATTCAAAGTCCTCAATACAATAAAAAATATCCTTGTACCTAAAAATAAGTATAACATTAATATTCATCCATACTTTTGATTAAAACTTCGACGCAAACATAACATAATATGATTTTTAAAAACAAACAATTAATTATCTACCTACACATTGGTCTTCTACAGATTGTATTTTTTTTATGAGAGAAAGTGGCAAACGAGCTTGCGGTTCACCTAATGTTAAGTGATAACCGCCGCCTATGGACATTAGCAACACCCGTAGGGTTGCAAATGCGTTGCCATCTTTAAATAAAGTGGACCCCGGCTACCTCACTCACCAGACGAAACGCAGAAGTGTAACACTAACACTTCTACTTTACACCGGTTTTCTGTGAGGTCATCGTACTGACCCTGCCCATTCTTGCAAAAGTTTCGAATTCTTCAAATTCTTTATAATTAAACAAACTTGCATTTCTTAGACTGTAGACATGCCCCCATATAAAGTGATTTAGTAACATAACTACAGTAATTAAATTATGTAATAAAATGACTAGAAGAGGCATGGTTAAAACAATTAATATATGATGGTCGTATAATATATACAATAAATACGAATTTTACACTAGCTACCTAAATAAGAACAAAGTAATGTAACCATTCAATACCATTAATTTTTTTTAATTTATTATATCAAACAATATAAACTATAATAATAAATAATATTCTTTAATAACCCCTAATACATAAAACCGGGACAGTATCTATTTAAACTGTGTAACAGTCAAAATAAAACAAGAAACTTGACGGAGCATTTATACAAATACATGAAAATATCCTGTAAAAAGTCTTTAATAATCCTTTAAAAAATTCGATATTGTTTGTAACATACAATGAGTGTATACGTAACATGGGCGTTCCTCGAACATGACCTACCCGAAGCTTCGAGAATGCACGCAACAGCGTAAATACGGCAACCTCTGTCTGGTCTGGTAATGTTCCAGACGTTTCGCGATAGAGCTATGACATTTACTGACCTTGCAATGTACTGAGGCACCGGAGCTCAAACCATGGGTCGCTCAATAAAATTTTATGCATTTTTCCCTTTTGTAATAAAATAATTGTAGACACCATGTGCACAAAAGGTAAGAATTATTTTATGTACGCACGTAAGAAATTATATTTCTTTAACGTGACAAAAGAAAAATAATTAAACATTTTATCCCAGTACTCGTTTGTTTGTAAAAAAAAAACATTAAAATGTACAATGGATAAACCGTTATAGTTTAACTATATAACTGGGAATTATAGATAAATGTCAAAAAGTTGTCATTGATTGCCATAAATATGTATCACGAATGTAAAAATTCATAATTTTTCCTAAAAGCTCAAAAAATAATAAAAAACATCAATGACAAGAAAAAATTTAAAAACATTTTTAAGTGATAACGAACGAAGTACACGTATTAAATAAGGTATAAAAAAAGCGTTTTTTAATTGGGTTTACAATTATACATAACTGGTATTAAAATGCGGGCCATACGTTGAAACTCCCTGATGTTTTTTTACTCCGTCTGGAATAATCTACCGAATACTAGATGGCGCTGTAGCATATATAAAGAGGAATCTGATGAGCGGGGAGTCATTCGTTCCAATACAATACGAGCGTCTTGTACATTCTTACTAGCGATTTTGCGACTCCAGTGAATTAAAATGTCTCTTCTACCATTGTTATTTGATGATTGGACTGTCGCACGTCCTCGTCGCCTTGTGGATCAGCATTTTGGGTTGGCACTGACTCCTGACGATCTTCTGTCTGTTGCGGCGGGGCCCTTGCTCAGCAGGGAGTACTACAGACCATGGCGACACCTCGCAGCTGCTGCAAGAGATCTTGGATCGAGCATCAAAGCCGACGCGGACAAGTTTCAGATCAACCTAGACGTACAGCATTTCGCGCCCGAAGAAATATCCGTGAAGACCGCAGACGGATATATCGTAGTTGAAGGAAAGCATGAAGAGAAAAAGGATGAGCACGGCTTCGTTTCACGGCAGTTTGTGAGGAGGTATGCGTTACCAGAAGGCACATTACCCGAAACAGTAGAGTCAAAGCTGTCTTCAGACGGAGTTTTAACCATCACTGCGCCAAGAAATGTTCCAGAATCGATCAAAGGTGAAAGGAAAGTGCCAATAGCTCAGACTGGTCCTGTCCGTAAAGAAATCAAAGATCAGAACGAAGGTACGAGCGACCAGAAAGAAGGAAAGTGAATTAGTTAATTATGTTAAAATTTAAGTTTAAGTGCATTTATTACATTTCCAAAGCATTGGCAGTGCCCGTGAAGGAAGACTGAATTTTTGTTTCTACCGTTAAAGGTTGTACATGTAAAAGAATAAATAAATTTTTTTTTGCTTTTACCTTCGCTCTTATTTTTTTATTGAACTCTTGATTTCCATCAAACTGTTATTACAAAATCTTTATAATAACCAGTATTTTAATATGAAGAAAATTAAATTCAGTATTTTAATATGAAGAAAAATGTGGGTGGTAAACGGCGTAGTTTGTCATGAGACTACAATGAGTTATCGATATATTAATATAAAAATAGCTTTATTCCATGATTTTATAAACGTAAAAATTGCTTTTCTGAGAGAATAGAGCAGGGTAGGTCATTATTTAAAACAAAAAATAAATATTCTACTGATGTCAGCACCGGCGTTTCACACAACTCATTTAGGGAACTAGGTGATCCGGCAAGTTGATTCCCATATAAAATATTGTTAACGCTCCCGCAACACCACTTGTGGGTGGAATTTCGTAAAATCAGACCTTCTTAGCTGACTTCTACTCGGCGAAAGGAATATTCCTACTTTCCTACCAAATTTCGAGTATCTACACCTTATGGTTCCAGAGATATCGTGATGAGTCAGTTATCGGTGGAAATCTATTATACAAAAAATGCTTTTTATATATTTCTCAAGTATTTAATCTTGACAAGTATATATAGTCAAATAAAAAATAGTAAAATACTATAAAATATCAATGCATTATATTTTCTTTAAAAAATGTATATTCGCTGAATTATGTTATATTCGCTGAGTTATTTAGGTATCTGTTATGGTAAATCTTATTAAGGTATTTCAGATATATAAAAGTACTCTGCGGTAAATGTTATTAATCGATGATTATATACTATAACCGGAAATTATGCATAATCACGCGTAAACTTGGTAAATACGATAAATTTTTGAAAATGTATCAAATTAACCGTTTGATTTGCATACATAATTAACTGTTTTGTATAAGTTCATGTTAATTGTATTTTCATCATCATTTATTGATTTTTTAATTGTAAAACATAAAATATTGCAATTCCTGGTCTCTTGCGCATTAGTGTTCAACGAAATAAATATTTGAACAAAAAAAAAACGGACTTAAAATATATACTATATTCTCATATATGGATACTATAATCTCACATTTTCTTTCCGTTAATATTGCGTTTATTTTTTAAATTGACTTTAAAATTAATTTTTGAAATTTTTTGTATATATACCTACCTTAATATTTTAATATTCCTACCTTTAAGGCCCATTTACACGATGCCATTTTCTTGTACATACAAGAGCAATAATTGAATGCAATAAATTGCGCGCAATAATTTGTTAGACCATTTGTTGTTTAGACAATGCAACAATTGCTTCAATTTAATTGTATATAACAGGCAAGAAACTTGCACCGTGTAAATGAGCCTTTAGAGTATAGTCTATTGAAATGTTTAATTTTTTTGCGCTTAACGTGCAAAAGACGGAGCACGCAATGTTAAAATGTCAATTGATGTTAAGTTTGTTTGCTTTGTTTGGCCATCTATTTTTGTGAGGTAGGCACACATGTTGTATCAATCATGTTAATGGTATTGGATAGGAATTATTTTACGACCGGCCACCTGCCTAACGTAAACCCTTCTTGGGTATGAACATCCAGATACGGAACAATTATTTGTACAAAGCACAAATATTTGCCCCGTGGGAAACCCACGCCCTCCACAAGTCCACACTTAAGCCTAGCAAATGAGCCACCGACTCATCAATAGTAGTAGCAAAATGGCGAAGTTTGATTTCAACACTCACGAACACTTTCCCGCATTGAGATGTCGAATACTCATTTACTTGAGAAGCTTCAACGAGGTCATGGGTCTGCAGATCAACTATTTGTTTTCAGATATGTTAAGATAAAATTAATATAAATTGGCATGACAACGCCATTTCTTTTAGAATATTAATCATAATAACGTATCATCATAATCACTATATCCTTGTTGTTTGAGAAGAAATAAAACAAACGATGGTGTTTTTTACGAATCCGTTTATTTAGCTACAACAAAACGATGACAGAATCACCTCGCAAGGGACAGTGGGTAAATAATATATCATTAAATACGTTTGTTACAATAGTGTATAAAACAATTTACTCTTTAGAAGCTCAGTTACGCATATCACTACAGTGCCGTGTATTCACATTGTAAGTTACATCAAATTTCAATATCGGTTTGGAAATTTCTTCGTTTTGTAATCGTGTAAACGAGTTTAGGAAAGATGAATAATTTGAAAAAATTATATTATATATTTCTATACAATATATACAATTGGTAGACTATTGTCAGTGCTTTCTAAATACAACACGAATACGGGTTTATAGAGACAATTCAAAGTTATTTTGATTCTTTTCTAACATTTTCATTATGTCATAAAGAGATTTATTACATTTTATGTTACCCTGAGTGCAATTTGATTTCAGTCGTTATTTCAGAAACAAGATATTTAATCTATCAATGCATTCATGGTTGACTGGCACATAGATCTTTTCCGCCTTTCCAAATCGATATTAAATTTCCCTACAATCAATTTTAATGTGTAACTCTATATACGTAAAGGCTAAATTGTCGCTGCATAGTTATTCAGACTAACACGCCAGTTACCACATAAGACACAAGCCACAACATAGTAACAAAAAGATTAATCTTTCATATTAATCTTTCTACACATTTCGACGCATCTTCTACTGTTACAATGCAATTGAATACGACGTATTAAAATTTTAAAATCCTGTATTTTGTGGTATTTCTTGTACTGTTGAATAAGATAATGAGGCAACAGCCTATATTTATTACATAAGTTGTTAAAAGAACTTTAGTAGTACAAAGATCTGCTATATAGCTTACATTATATGCTTATTGATCTAAGTACATAATTATTACATTTAATATGAAGCATAAATAGTGTGTAAATATTTGACCGGAAATTTGATGTTAAATTAATATTATAAAAGAAAACGAATATTTAGAAAGCGAAAATTTTGAAGTGGTGCAATTTCATAACAATATATAACATTCAGTAAATAATATTATTGGAAGGCATAAAAGCCTTGTGCATATACTTTTATAAGACCATATTTTTCATACAACAATTATTATAATTTGAAGTTAAATAAATATGTCGATGATCAATTCCTATATAAATTACAATAATCATATTTCATAACATTATGAACAGTATCCTAAAAGTAATACATTAAAAACAAAATATTTATATGTCCTGTCCTGTCCATGTTTATTTTAATTTTCACTTATGAAACAGATAATTAAATATTACTGCTATGATTGAATATAAATGAAGAAGGTACATATTGAAGCAATTAAGAATACTACAAGGAATGTACTAATACATGGCCAAGTTTTATATCAACATTAAACATTTTTCCTATGCTTAAATTTATAATTATTATATCTACATAATATTTTTCACTATACTAAGCTACATTTACGCCATCTTGCTTTGCAACATCTAATGCTAGAAATATAATAGGTATAAAATTGAGCTTCTTTGATATGTATCGTTAGAATCAATTTCGCTTATTAAAATAGTGATATAATTCATTAAAATTGAAAACTGTTAATAAATTTATCTATTTTTAATAAGCAAATTAAACTAAAATAAATAAAAACTTAAGTAATATTATTGAATATTTATAAAATAAAAATGAAATATTAAGCACGAGAACATGGACTAATCAATAAAGGACATACATAATACATAATAACTCAATGAGTAGTAAGTAATAAGTTATTTTTCTAGTCCTCCGTGCATGGGAGTTTAGAGTAACTACTAGCTAATATTATTATAGTCCAAGTTGAAGTTGTTACACATAGAATTTTATTAATTTTGTAAATAATGCTTTACATATACTATATTAAATTAATTATATACAGGTTATAATATAAATAAACATTTCAATCTTAAATAACGCGGAAAATGTCGCTTAAATAATAGTATTACTAGCGCCCTCTTTAACGAACATGTAAAAATTAAAAATAAATCAAGTTGTAATAAGTTGTCGCTAGATAGCGTCTAAATAAAAATCCTGCAAGAAAGGTTGTAACAAAAAATTTGATTAGGTATGGTACAACTTTCGCAAAATTAATTTCAAATTTATAACTTACTGTGAATATTTGAAAGACGCCATTGTTGTGTAGACTTTAATCAAGATGTATGTATGTATTCATCAATGAACAATTATAAGTTTCATACATACATATTTATAATCAAGGTGAAACATTGAAGATATTGAAAAAAATCTTAACATGCTACGTGATTTTTAAAGTCGTGATCAAATCGATCTAGATCTGTAATTAACAACGTAATGTTTTTGCAAAGTGGACGTGTTTAGAAAATTGTAATATATCATAATAAAAATTGTAATTGGTAAATATTTATTCTATTTGTATGATATTATATGATAACATTGAAATTCCTATTGTAATATACAGCGTGTCGTTACCATCGCGACAATAAATGAACACACGTCTAACGCTACTTGCCAATAATCATAAAAAATATTAACGTTAAACAAAATCCATAATTAAAAAAAAATATTTTTCGAACAAACTAATTAAGTAAAAAAGAAACAAAATTTGTAACATCCTATACAACTCGTGCCATACCGTCGCATTACAAGCCTCTCCTTCTAACAGTATGTTTTGTCTCATTCAACTAAATTCATTCAACCCTTTCATATGCTTTGTGACCTTTACAAAAGAACTTTACGTTACGCTTTTATAGGTAGGGTGTTCTAAAATTCTTTATTTTGGAAAATTTGATAACTCTGTAAATAATGATGTTTAAAGAATTTAAATGTTTAATACAACTTTAAAAAGTTATCCCCTATATGTGTGTTCATTTATTGTCGCGATGGTAACGATACGTTGTATAGATTGCTTGATTTTTTTTATAAAATGTTTGATTTGTTTATAAAGAGATTTTCTGTTTGGATCCTGTCACTCAAAGGATCTTGTGCATATTATTATTAAAAGAAAATTCTTTAAACATGTATTACAATGTTCTGTCTTAATATATTCTTCATGAAAAATTAAAAGTATTTAGAAAAAATAAATAATTTTTCGTATTCTTATTTGTGGTCGATAATTAAGAAAGTAATATGCGAAAGCTATTGGGAGCATAAGAATAGTTGTATTTAAAGATTTGAATGTTTTTTTTTTGTTCTGTTGTGTTTAAATTAAATGAAGAGATTTATCTACAGAAATAATTAATAATTTCTTAGAACGCCAACAACAATTCGCTAAAAATTTGGTAGGTACCTAATAACATTATAAAGTCTGTTTGATATGTATTCGTTCTTACGATTATATTGAAATATAATTAAATAACACGACTAAGTGTCTTCAAGGCATAGACAAAATTAGATAAATGCGGAAAATATCAAAACGAACATCAATTACACAGCGTTAACATCGAATCTAAAACTTTAACATTTAGACATAAGTACATTAGGATATTCTAAACATGGCGCTATTTTCGTTAAAACTCTTTGGAACACAAGAACTCGTCTACTTCAAATTAAAGCTTCTTTCTTTACCATTTTCGTACATTACATACCCTCTTATGCGTAATTTATTGAAACAAACCTCTTAAGTGCCTTAACTATACTATGGCTACAGAAGCCACACAGCAACTTTAAAAGAACCAAACCGTTTTAAAATATTGCGATTTTCCTCTCCATATATTATAGTTTAATTAGTTAGTTTTTTTGTATATGTGATTCAACATAAAATATAATAATTTTAAATATCACTAAAGATTTTTTTTTAATTTTCTCTAAAGATTTTGAAAAAAAAAACAGTAAAAAAAACAACTTCCTCGTATCTAAATAATGTCAGAATAATGTTATAAATTTTTTTATATCGAAACTACGATGTCATGGCCGAATATGTAACAAATTATTTATTTGAATATTCGTAACAAGCCCAAAGAGTGTCTATTGAGCTACTCTTTAGGCTTGCTACAATTTTTGTTATGTTGCCCGGCAGTTCAGCGTTCTCAGATATTAAAGTTGCTGTGCGTCATTTATTGGTTCTAACTTAATAGTGCAATCATATTTTACGTACAGTTATATCTAACAGAAAGAAATACTACATGACTACACCTATCAGCAAATTACCTCAGAAGTTCCTAGTTGTGTGTTAAACACAATAGATACAAAAAGCGTATCGTCTTTTACACAGTAAAGTGCTATATAATTATTAACTGAATGTCATTTTGAACAAAAGGGGACCAAAGCTTGACTGACATGAATGTCTAAAACACAAATATCTACCGACTACCGAATATAAATCAGATACCTAATAGTGTAAAGGCGCAGTACTTATATACACAACCCAGCCTTTAAGATCGACCTACAAGCACCAGTTCTAAGTCGAAAATAAAAAAGAAAGTACACTTAACTATGATATGTTTAGTTAATCATCTCAGTCTTCATACTACTACTAGATTCAGTCCTAAACTATCGGATTTTACAACTCCATAAGACAAGGACGTGATGTTACCAAAATGAAATCCTCCAAAAAGCATCTTAGAACCATTAATAGTAGATACAATTTCGTTATACACATTTCTAGAAAAATATTTAAGTATAATTGCATCGACAACAAGTTTATTAAAATTAGTACATATTGTAATATTCACAGCATTATTGATATGTTTCGTTTCATTATAATTATTTAAATATATATCTTTTATATAACCTATATAATTTTCAGTGTTTTCATTATATTGTGCGTGATCTAAAGCGAGTGCATCGTGCATAATATCATAGTTAACATTAGGTACACCACTAGATTTAATAAATTCTTTGTAGTACTCAAAAATAGATATGTAGTCAATTTCACCTTTGAAAAAATAACTGTTTATCGTAAAAGGAACAATTATTGATGAACTATCTATATGGTCAGCAAAATAACCGTTAGATAAATTCGAAAACCAATTGAATATATTGGTGACTAACGTGATAGTAACGAAGAATGAGATAGTTTGTTTGAAATTTTGAATAAAGAGTATTAGGATTATGAACCCGTAAACATGCCTATCTGACCGGTGGGCGACACCTGAGGAACTAGGGGGCGTTGGGTATACCACGTCGACTTCGGCGATCTTGAATATGGACAGGAGGAGATGGGAGGAAATGTCCTCGTGCTGCGAGTTGATTCGAGATTTGACGATTTTCAACACGTCGATACAGGCTTCCTGAAATGCAACAATGTCTTGAATTAAAATGGTAGTCTTTTTAATATGGATTAATTGTGTAACAAGATCGAGACGATTGCATATGGGTTGACACTTTCGCTGATAAATATTACATGGAGATAAGAAGGTAAGAATATATATTATCTATATAAGATAGATATAGATAATATTGCTCATTTTTTTCAATCCCATTGCCTCAAATGTTCTTTACCTTTTCTCTATCCAGCAAATCCTCGCCGGACTCCTTGAGTGCCTCTTGCTGACGCGGTGGAATGCTGGCGGAGATGATTACGTTTTCGTTGCTGATGTTGAATAGGGTTAGCGTGCAATTCGTCTGAAAAGTAAGTTATTTATAAGAATAGCCGTATATAAATATCTTTGCCAAGAATGACACATCTTAAGGGAATCGTTATTACGCGATTTTTAGCGCTCCGTACCGAAAGGTTAAAACGGGACCCTATTGCTAAGACTCCGCCGTCTGCTTTTCTGATTGCACTCTGTACACCAGGCTGTATCTCATGAACCGTGATAGTTAGACGGCTGAAATTTTTACTGATAATGTATTTCTGTTGCATTTAAGTGGGGCTACCATGCAACAGATATGAGTTTTTTGCCCTTTATTGTAGATAATGGTAAATATTTTGTTACACCATGTGCGTGGGTCTCAGCTATGTCAATAATACCACACAAAATCGTGTGTGAGATTTGAAGTAGAAGATGTGCAGAAAACTAAAAATTTTATACAATATCTGTTACAAATTATTAAAGTAAAATAAAACGTTCATAGTTTAGATACGTTTATGTTATCAATGTGAAACAAATATTAATCTCTTGTCTAACAGTTGCACATAAGAAATAAAGATAACTAAAATTAATGAGTTTGAGAAAAGTATATAATAATTCTTAAAATTTTTTAGAATTATGGATAAATTTGGACCATTGGGCGCAATGAGTCTAAGTAAAGATTAATTCATGACATCGGTATTTATTGAAAAACAAAAAAGAATAGAAAGAAATAATAATCTAGACCACAATTCTTAGCATATTAACAGACAAACCAAATTTTTAAAGGTGGGCAACGCTTCTGCAACCTGATGGGGTACTGTAGATGTTCATGGGTAGCGGTAATCACCCATCATCAGATTAACTGTGCTCGCTTGCCAGCTTAACCAGCATCTAACTTACACCCATGAATTTTTTTTTCATAGAATACGCTACAAAAGAAACCTAAAGCCATAAATAATTAAGGTCACAAGGCAGCCTTTGCCTTTTATTGATTGAATGGGCAGGCTCAATGCAATTGTCATACCTTCGCATTTCATCCGATAAGTGCGGAAGCCGGGTTGCATTGTTGTTATGGGTGTCAACGCATCTGTTACCAGCCAGGTTTATGGCCGCGATAATCACTTGGCATTAGAACTCTTCGCCTATCAACTTATTACTTAAAAAAGAACTCACGTCATCAGGATGAACTACGTGCAGATATTGTTGCAGAAGCCTGACAGCGTCCTCTGCACCAAGGCCCGTGTGTGGACGCAGGAGTGCCTCATCGACTGCGCTAAAGCCCAGGAGAAGGTAGACACCTTCAGGGAGCTTATACTCTCCTAAAACAAAGATTTCGTTAATAAAACACGTCATTGAAATACAAAATTCCATGATGACTCAACTACACAAAGATATAATACAATCGACAAAACCATGCATTTATTGACTAAGAATGCAATGTTTAAGGTTTTTAACACTTTCTTCCACCGAGCACGCACATAAAAACTAATTGAATAGTTTTTAAAATTACATTAACGAATACAACATGGTTCGGAACTTGGAGAATCATTTAATGTAATAAATGTTTTGTGTAATCTTCCGTGTGAACCATCTTTATCTCCGTTTAAAAATGTTTCCACTAACGGCTTAAATGGCCAAAGGCTTACCGGGGTTGGGTCTCATGCAGATAAACGATCCGGAGTAGCAGTAGCATCTGCCTCTATAGGCCTGGTAAGCTGGCGCCGCGTGGGAGTAGTGAGCGAGACGAGAGGAGCACGGAGCGCGAGGAACGCACGCCACCTTGCAGGAGACTTGCAGGGACGACTCGCAGACGCACAAATCCGTACACTCCGCGAGTTCCGCCGATCGGTACAGCTGGAAATCAGCAAGTAGCAAAATTAATATAATTGAATGGTGAGTTTGCAACATTTTAATAATACACAATATTTCGTATATATATCAAAGATACATTCTAAGCAGTAATCTATAGTTTTTTTTCCTTTGTTTCTATTGTTTTTCTCTTTACCATTATCCTTCGAAAACTTTATCTATCCTTCTCAATTATTGCTCGCTCTTATTTCTGATAAATACAGTTGGAAAATTGATAACTTTTTATTATGATTAATAATCTCACCCTTCTGGTCTCTCCCATCTTTATATACTGCGCCTGATCATCGCTTTCCGGTTTTTTCACGATGCAGTATTTCGTTGGCTCCAATGTCGTCGTCGGTTTCGGTGTAGTCGTGGTCGTTGTCGTAGTTGTGGTCGTCGTCGTTGTGGTTCTAGTAGTAGTCGCCACTGTAGTTGTCTCGGTTGTAGTCTCTACTACGGGTTCAGATATTTGACCCACTTCATTAGGTCCAATGGTTTGCTCAGACATGGTCGTGATGGGGCTGAGAACCTCACGGTTTTCCTTAAATAGATAATTATGATAATTAGTTCAGACTTTAAAAGGAGCCATAATTTTGACGAAATACACCGTAGTATTTTTCAAATGAAAGTTCAAAAATTATGTTAAAAATTGTATTGTCTTGAAAGGTTTACCAAAACTTACTTGGGAATGTTCTTGGGAGGTCCCGTGCTGAGTGGTGTGCCGGTGGTGATGGGTGGTGGTCCGGTGGTGGATCGCTGGCTCCGGTGGGACTGTGATGTAACGGATCCCGTTGTCGAATGGAGTGGTTGTTAAGAGGGATCCGTAAGTCTTCATGTGATAATCGTGCTGAGATTCAACTGAAATTGAAATAGATAACTGGAAATTCAGTGAATTTTACATTTATGAATTGACCATCAAGTCATATAATATTGCGTAAGTAAATCTTTATTTTTAAATCGTGTGCTTTCACGTCGGTTTAAAACATAGTCGGCTTATGACATATATAACATACAATTTGCGTATTGCCATAATGGAATTTACCAAGAAAATAGACTGCACCGAATTCAGAAAGCGATGAAATCAATTTATCTCAAGTTTGTGAACGAGAATTTATATGTGTAAATGTAAGTTACATACTTTCGTTCAATCAGGAGAATTTTTATTCGTATAGAACAACGTTTCGTGAGTTGTTAAAGTTTCGATCATCATAATTCATCATTATCATCATATTAGTTTCTTCCAGTGGACTGCTGAACTTGTTTCAACCGACTTTAAAAAAATGAGGGTGTTTCTTATTTTATTGTCATGTTGGTTATCTGATAACTTCATCTTATTGCAGCGATTTTATAAAAATCTTTCTACTTTTCTTGGGTCCGGTTTAGCTAACTTGTGGACCCATATATATTTAATTGGTATTGCACCTTGGACTCTGGAAATACATGATTTTTATGTGCGACGGTGGCAAGCCAGCTGGATAGTGACAACTCCTACAGTTTCGATACGAAAACATATTTTCGCTGGACGGGAAAATGGACCTTAAACTCACCGACGCAAGGGTTGAGCCAGAGGAGCCTCTGCCATCCGAGGCAGTCGTAGAGCTGGGCGAAGTCGGTTCCACGACAGGCGCAGGCGGCACGCAGCTGGGTCCCCAGCACGGCGACCACGGCCGCCCTACAGGCCGCGGGCGATCCAGCACAGCCCTGGGTCACAGCGTCCACGGCGCACCATTGCTCGTAGTTCTCGAGGCGAATCCTGAGAAAAGTAAGAACTAACCATTATACGTTCCACTGTCCAAATGCCTCCTCTGTACCGAGGATCTTAGGCCATAGTCCACCACGCGACCCTAGTTTTCCACCCAACTTCACGTACCTTCGGAACATTTTTTTATTTTCTTTCATTGTTACGATGTTTACCTTCACCGCTGAGCGTGATAAGTACTTAAAATTGCAACTAACAATTTCATTGGTGCCGACACCGATATATGAATTCAGGTTGCTTGAGTATCACGAATTTACAGCGAGCGCCCGGACACGGCTTTTTGTGAATCTTGAAAGCATGCAGAAATAATCTCCAACTAACAGTTAATTATCATTACCTACAACATTTATTCAAATTACTACAGACAAATTACATAAATTATTTTGACGTGATAAATTACGTTATGATGTATGTATTTTTTGACTAAGGATTCTTTCTTTGATGAGTAGTAATAATCAGAAAATAATTTTAGAAATTTGATTTTTATCAGAAAGTTACCATACTTATAGGTAACTACGGTGTATAAAAGAGATACTATTGTCAGAATTTAAATTTTCTTGTTAAGTTACATCCGTTACAGCTTTCAAAAATATAATAAGCATAAGATTTATTTTCCACAGTTCAGAACAAAAAGGGGTCTAGGTTTTCAAACGAAACATAGACTGTACCATTAGGCAGTCATTACAATATGGAATTATGTACTTGAAATGATGGCAAGATGCTAAAAGTAAAAACTTCGTTACTATTATTAGTACTTTTAAAGTTGAAAAGGCATACTCAAAATAAAGCGGCTACATTCGCGAGAATCGTAACTACACAAACCATTTCCATCGGCACGGAAGTATCATCTTAAGCGGGATGGCGTTTGCAAATACCGAATCCGCTGTTTGTCGGTACATCGATTAAGCAGGCGAAAATGTACGCGAAAATTCGGCAGGAATTATTCAGCGTTCATTTAGCCGAGATCCGAGAGGCGCGCGGGGCGATTTACGTAACGGCGGGGATCGGTAATATCTCGATAAATCTCGTGCAATGGTAACACCAAGCGTTTATCAATATTTTTAAGGACATACAACTTTATTACATAAACGATCGAATTTGCATTTTACTAGATAAAAGCCACCTTTGGCGTCAGTATCTTTGCCCCTCGATGCTACTCGCACGTGGTGGTAACAGCACATTTCATTCATTCATTCCTGTGGTCGTAACATAAAACTTTTGCATAAAGACCTATTGCAATTAATGCTATTTTAAAATAAGTTTTACTAAAAAGGAACATTGGCGTCGACAGGTTTGAAAGTAAGTAAAGTAACAGACTATATCTACATATGTCCCACTGCTGGGCAAAGGCCTCCTACGTGCAGAGGGTATTAGGATAGTTCACGCGACCCCACTGCGGATTGGCGGACTTCACATGTCTTCGAAATATTTATTTTTGTTATTATTTCGAAAATATGCAGGTTTTATTTACGACGTTTTCCTTCGCGCTGAGTACGGTGATAAGGCAGCACTTAAAATTAACAATTTTATCGGTGCTGGCACAGGGGATCGAAGTCAGCTCGAGTATGTGGAATGAGAAGCGAGTGCATGGACAATGAGCTATCACGACTCTTAGATTTTAGCCGTGACAGGGCCGGGCTAACCAAGTGCGGGGCCGTAGCAAATTCTTTCAAGCAACCCTAAATCTGCTATGGGTTCTTAAGTATAAGATGGCAAGAAACAATTCAATACTACAAAAATTAAGCCTCAGGCAGAGTGGGCTGTACTCTTCACTTTAATAAACAATGTATTCATTACTTTTAGTTAGCATTGTTGTTAGTAACCGTCATCATAAACAGCCATCTTTTGAAAAATGGACTGTTACGAGTTGGTGTTCGTGAAATTTAGCGTTTCAGAATTAGATTTCAGTTAAATTACAACTCATGGATAAATTATTGTTTTCCTTACTTTATTAATAGTGATTTTCGAAACGCATATGCGCCTTTACTGCCCATCTCGCTAGCAAAAATTAACAAAAAATCGAGTGTTTAGTACCTGACCGCCTCATTTGTAGCTAGTACGATCCTAATTTATGTATTGGCATCATCATTATCCTTAACCGTCGTGATGCTTTTCTAGAATATTCCGAAAAATTCAGCACACAAGTAGTCGTAATTTTACTCAGTACTTAACAACTATCCCGTCAAATGATCATTGACTGTGTAATTGTGTATGCTGCCTGCTTATTCCGTACTTCTATTCTTCCTGCGTATGCTTATTTCCGTTAACGAATTTACGTAGTTTAATATTTTTAAATTCAAATGATGTTATTTTATATATCCTCAACTTCATCTTCAACCCGTGTTCAATGTTAGGGCAAAACGTCATAAGTGTATTTTCGAACGAATATTTTCATAATATGTGAGATCCGAATTTGCAATAAGGTCTCGTGTCTTGATAATTTCGTAATCTTTCTTGTGTATTTTTACCCGACAATCTATTTTTAAATGTATGTTTCGTTAATGCGTCTTTTGTTATTGCGTGTACAATAAAACGTATAAATAAATAATAAAAAACTATCTGTACAGTTTGGCCTACCTAGGCGAGTCTATTGCGAGCCTTGACCCCGTATCTTGGTTCCTTATAATGGTTTAACTGAAGAAAGGAACACAAAAACATTGAATTATCGTACGAATTTTCTTATATTCCTTAATTCGTCTACACCAGTCTTCAAACCTAACCTCTCAAAACATCAATTCGAGATCCGCGTGTATGACAAACTGTGGATTTGTATGCTTAGGCTGATAATTTTCGCAAAGTAGAAATTATAACAGGTGGTAATAGATCATCGCTTTGTCTCGTTCCTTGAAAGCGCGATGAAGGAATCGCTAATTAGGGTGCGAGGGGCTGAGCTATAATTATTAATTAGCCGACCGAGGGTGGTCGCTCCGAATTGTCTTTTCGCCCGCTGTCAAAATATTTGACTACTTTGTTTGGATCATTAGCGTGGAGACGCCGTTAGCAATTTTCGGCTTAAGCTGCGTTGATTTTACTAAAGTTTGTTATTTAGATCGTTATTAGGGGTTTCATTTGTTTTCGAAAAAATAAATTGTATCACTTATATTTTACTTATACAATACTGTATAATTAACATTTTTTTTTGTTCTTTTAGTAAATTGAAATATTTGACAATTTTGACGTATATCTTTAAGCAAAAGCGATCATTTAGAAGTCAAGCGTTCGTATATTGGTGAATTTCCTGAAGTAAAAAATAAATTGAAATGTAACATTTATTATACACTACGCTAAATATAATTATTTCATTAATTTCATTTTGTAAGTTGTTGTCGAAACGTAAGATAATGAGGCTAAAACTTTTTGTTTTTACGGTACAGTAATTTAAATTTGGAGCGATTTTTACCGATTTTATGAAGTTCATTTGAATTTAACTTCCCATCCACTTACAGTAGTTCAATCATGGTCACGGGGCGGATAAATTTTAGATTTGACACGAAAATATACTTAGAAAAATAGTTACATTTAATAATGTACAGTAGTGGCAATCTTTTATTTGACATATCATTCATTTTGATGCGTGTGATGCGTGAGAAAAAAAATTTTGCTCGTTGCAGATTTGTACTTCTAAAAACACTTCGTACGTAGTCTGAGTGGAATGATTTGTTTTTACAAATGATTTGCTCGTCGGTTTTCAATGATTGTAAAGGTAGTTTTTATTTTTAAAACAAGCTCTCGCGTTTTAGGACCCTACCGATGACATATATGACATATACCAGGATAAAATTAAGACCATATTTCAGGATAAAATTTCCCTTCGGCATCTAATTGTGATGAGTTTCGACTCGGTGGTGAATAAACTGAAAATTAATTAATTCAACAGTATATGAATCAAACAATAGCTTGTACAAAATATAGTAAGTTAATTATGTAAGCATCAAAACGAGAACAAAATGAGCCCTAGCTGTAACTGGTCTACACGAAATCTTCGATATACTCGTAGCGGTGAAGCATGTTGGATAATTAGAGCCGTAGAGTTGTTACGAGTTTGCGTCTGCGGTCAGGTGTAAACGGATTGCCTGCCCTATTTGCGAGGGTCTTCGGGTTGACGGATTGAGCAATTGCGGTGGGAGGTGAACGCGTGTGTAGGCCGAATGGTAATGAACTATTGTGTTACGGACCACAATTCGGAAAAAAAAACAGATAAAGTAACATGCTTTGGCTAAACAAAGCCAATCTAACGAACGCCGAATCTAAATGTATCATACACATATATGTTTAGAAATTTTAATTTTTTATAGTGTAAATCTCTGCACTCAAGATTGAACATTAAAATTTGTAGAAAAAGTACGAAAAGATTGTCGCCGCTGTGGGAATCGAACGCACGTCTTCGTACTTTTTCTACAAATTTTAACATGTATGTTTCTTAGTGAAATTATAATCAAAGTTATAAAACCCATCTAAAATATGATATATGTCATCGGATAGAGAATTAAACCTGTATCACACCGACACTGCACAGTTTTATTTATTTATTTAAGCTTTATTATTGCTACGCTAGCTAAGGGCTACAATCGGCGGACTTAATGTCAGTGGCATTTTCTACCAGTCAAGTATAACCCTTGACATGGTGAAGAACAGATGGCAGATGTTAAACGAAGATTGTAAAAAATAAAAAATAAATTTAATTCAATCAAGTTCTATTGCCGCCTTTGCGTGGTCCCCGAAGGTCAGTTACGATGCCACAAACTTATCTTCAATAGTTCGCGGCGAGTTCAAGTATTGTAAAAAACATGAAAAAAAATATCTTTATTTTAAAAAAAAAGGCAGTTTAATAAAACATGATTTTGCCACCTTCATAGGCAACCACAAAAACTATGTATATGCAAAAACTTATAATCTATGCAATTTCAAAAATTTATACAAAGCCTTTATCTAATAAATTGTGCGCCAGAATGCACTTGCCAATTTCAAATAAATCTTTTTTTTATCTATATTGG